AAAAAAAAAAAAAAAGAGAAGAAAAAAAAAGAAAAATAAAGGCAATCGTGCGAAGCAAGATTCTCTTTCCTCTTTACTTTATCCAAGTTTCCGAGTCGCCCGCTGGTCTAATAAGCTTGTAATAAAACATTGTTACACATAGAGTCTAATGTAAACACGAACGCGAACGAGATGAAAAATACGAGGAACGGAATGAGAATGGGTAGAGGGTGGGGGTAAAAGAAACGAAGAGAACCGCGATCCAAAGGTGGAAGGGCTTGAGGGAGGCTGACGTGCGTTTTTCAGAGACATATCACAAGCGATGTTACTGTGTGCGCCCCGTTTTATCATAAATAATCGCGTAAACAAACGCGTTGGTAGAGGGAAAATGCGCGAGAGTTTCGATCGCGATCGAGAGACACATAACATATATATATATATATATATATACATATATCTATGCCATATCATTGTCTCACGAAAAAAAACGACCGAATTTTACGATGGAAGAAGAACGAGAGGAGAAAGAGCGAACGAAACTAAAAAGAAAGAGAAAAGGTATATATCATTCGCAATTTCGTTCGTTTTCGGGAGACAGAACAACGGACGAAGAAATGCGCGCGAGGAGGATCGCGCGTAACGAGAATTTTATCCAGTGGGCATTCTTATCTGCGAAAAGCATACGAGGTAATTTCGCGGACGACGACGAAGCGGCGATGTTCCCTGCGTAAGCTTGATTTTCTAAAAATCGAGACGCATTTCGCTCATTCCTTGTATTATTATCATTATTATTATTATTATTTACGTTAGTTGCAACTATAAAATTTTATAGCAACTATAATTTTTGTGTTAATTATAGAAATATAGTTATTATTGTGCGCTATTTTGTGTTTTATTGCATTAACGCATATCACTATGCGATAGCGAACTGGTTTTTAGCTGTAAATACACGTAGTGATTGTTCCGACACGCCCCGCATGGCATCTCAAATTGATAAGTGCGCGTATGTCGCGGAGAAAGCGAATTAATTGGCGTTTTTGTGAAGTAACCGGCCGCCACGATTCTTCTATTGCACACACACAGTCGGGGTTCTTTGCAGAATCACCGAATAAATCACTTTCACCGTGACGCGTACACGCGCACATACACACAAGGTGTCCAGTAAATCGCGACGAAGCGAGGCGGCCACTCGATCACCGTGTGAGACCACTTATCCTATATTTTCCGTCTTTTTTTCTTTTTTGCGCGAAAGGATCACTTCTTCGGCGACCTCGCGTCGTGATTTTTACTGGTTGCCGTGACAGATTTATACATGTAAACATACGTACGCACGCATATACACGGAACTAAGCCGTCACTGGTTGTGCCAAAAAAAGAAAAAAACGAACACAAAAACACAAAAAAATATATAAAAAAGACACAATCTGCGTGCTTCCTCTGAATATGTGATTCTAATTTTGCGGGCATTCTTTGTGGAGATAAGTGAGTTAGATTTAAAGAATTTGAGAGAGAGAAAGAGAGAGAGAGAAAGTGTGTGTGTGTGTGTATGTATGTCAGGGCTGTGTGTGTAAAAGAGATGGTCTCATCTTGTAAAAATGTACTTCCGTGCACGTCTATCACTTATAGCGAGCACGGTTCAATACACTAGTGCGCACGTGCGCAAACTAAAGGCTGTGTGTGTGTGTGTGTCTGTGTGTGACGGACAGAGTTACTTAAGTGCGAAAGCACAATACCAATGTCTCTCGATCGGTGAGGTGTTCAACATATTTTCTGTCGATGTGATAACTAATATATACCTTATATACGCGCATATCCGCACCTACGTCAATCTACGATTATGTGCTACAGCCATTAATGCGCTCCAGGGCGCACCAGTGCATCTAGTGCAATCGAGCTCGCTATCAGGTTTCCGTTGTGCCATAGCCATGCGTGTCGAATGAATTGTATATAACTGTGTGGCGTTTGTGAAATATCGTACATGATATTTCCCTGACATTGTTCGAATCGAGAATAATGATAAAAATGTTTCTTTTTTTTTTCGTTTCTGTTCGATCCTGTATCGTTGATCCTAGGATGCGTAACTCTCCGGGGATAAGTAGAGAGAGAGAAGGTCGAGATAGAAGTGATCTCGAGACACAAGAATATTTCAAATCACGGCCGAAACGTAATCGCATTTCGGCTTGCTATGTATCGCCGAAAACGTTCAGTAAACTGCGGATTCTTTCTTGACAGGACAGGAAACTCTGTCAAAACTCCATACGCACATACAAGCAACGGGAATCAGATGTCAGGATTTCCCGAGAACTCCGCTTATGCATCCTAGGATTAACGATCATAGGTTGTTTTATCTCGACATAAGCTAATAATAAGGAAACGTAGGAAAATAAATATTGCGAAGTGTATTGTTATATATGCATTTAATTTTATAATTCTATTATTATAATTCTATATATTTTATTTCGTAAACCTTGGAAAATTTTGTTCTGTTCATTTCTACATTCTCTCCGCCATCCGTCACCCGTCATCCGTTCCGCGCACGGTTGCACGCGTGTATTGCCCGGATACTCTCGTTGTCGCTCTGATTTCTCATTTTCATTCGCTCGTCCTTCATCACTTGCGGCTACGAACGAATTTGCCGGAGTAGCGCGCGAGGCTTTCTTGCGTCGATTTCGGCTGGGCCTTTCTGTAAGCGGCCAATCTGTAATACCGTAAGACGGGGAAATTTCGGCATCGGCGCGCCGCTACGAATAGCGCACAGGAAGAAACGTGTTAAGAATTTACGGATCGGTCTCTCTTCCTCTCTCTCTCTTTCTCACTTAAGTGTCAGTCGCTCCGAATACACACGGCCGTGTTCGCGAGTGGTGTAATTTAACGTTGTTTCACGGTATACGACATTCGGCAAAACTCTCGGGGCTTGCGCATTCGCGTGGACTGATGTGCATCACGCTTGTCCGCGCGTAATCACGCACCGATTGAACTTGATTAATGCCGGCCGGCGCGGTCAGCGCGTCTCGACCGTTCGCTACGTTCGAAATCCGTGGATTCCTTCCGTTTTATACACTGTTTGCACGAGCATTTTTTCTCGCGCTCTTATTGGCCAATTTCGTTAATATCAGAGTACAAACACGTGGGTATGTACGCGTCCGCGAGATTCCATGAAATATCCCGATCGTGGCGAATCGCCCGTCCCTCCGGTCTGTACCATTACACCCACCATCCCCCTCCTGTAATCCTTCCCGTTCCCTCTTCCCCTCACCACCTTCTCCTCCTCCTCCTTCGCCGGCTTCTCGTCGCGTACTCGTAACCTTGGGCATTCTGTAATTTAGCAAATTGTTGCGGACTCGGCGAAAGGAATCGCTCGATTCGCGAGTGCTTCGCCAATAGCGATGATGGTATCGCCCGCCGCACGAGAGACTCGCGGGGCGAAAAAGGATAAATAAATAAATAATCGGAGAATCGAGGAGAGAGATAAGGGTGTCCTGTGCGAATTCCTGCGGACGAGGCGAAACGTTGATCTCGCACGCACGAAACTCGATCTCGTTCCGGGCGAAGGTAAGTTTGATTTCACGGATGAGATCGGGAATTTTTCGTTAAGATCGAGAGATGCAACGCGAATAGTTGTCGCGCGTGCGTAGGAGATAAGTTCCGCCAGGCGAAAAAGGTTTCACAAGGCGCTTTAGAAAGACGTTTCCCGAAAGGGAAGAAAGAAAAAATTGTACACCTTGATGACGAGGTCGCAGAATTACTTTTCACACGCACGCTACACATATGTATATATATGTACATATATTATGTAACATATTCGCGATGTGTCATTCAATATAATATATATGTATATCGGCATGCATACATATATATATGTATGTGTACACGCAAGTATATTAATAACAGCAATTGTTAATATACGCGCGAGCTTGTGCGGAGTCCGTTTTCTTTCTCTTTCTCACGTCGCTTTATCATCGAGCGAGTTACACGTGAGCGTCAACCACTCGCGACACACGCCGCCGCTCGTCGGAAGACGACCTGCAATCAGTCGATAGCGTGCGCGTCTCTCTCGATAGGAAAGCTAATCGGACCGTCGGGGAGAACTTGGCGAAGCGAGCGCGAATCGAGGAGACCCGCGCGGCGGCACGGCAGGGCGCAACAAAAATGAGGAGAACGAACGGCCGTACGAGACCACGGGACGAGGATCGATAGTCGCGTCGACTTAATTGCGGATTACGCGGCGATGATTAGCGGTCGCCCTTTCCTTGTTTCGTAGCAATAATAATTAATGGTCGATCCGGCTCTCTCGTGTGCCGGGCGTCCCTGCCTCGCTATCCTCGCGCGAGTCCCCGTCGTTGTTAGAATTAAGCAACATCTACCTGATGACGAAGCAATATATTGATGCGATCTATCTGCGATTTATTAAGACGAGAGAAGGAGAACGGCGAGTAAAAAAGAGATATATGTAGAGGCAGATAGGGGAACGAGCAGTGGAGGGAGCGAGATGTAGCGGATAAGAATAAGTGACTCGAGGAGAGAAGCGATCTTAGGTGTAGTCCACTCTACTATGCGTCTCCTAGTTAAAATTTTTATGTTTTCTAATTCGTTGTGAACGAATGTTTATATATATATATAAATATATATATGAATGAATCTATATATTATATATTTAAATTCTAGGCTACGCAAATTCTAAGTGAAGGAAGAGAGGGGAAAGTAGGAAAGAGAGAAATAGAATACCACAAATCAACGAGCCGCGTGGCGGCTACCGTTTAGCGTTTCGCTGCGAGGACTCACGGGCGATATCGACGATACTTCACATGAGTCTTGAACGTGACAATCGAAATTCACACGCGCGCGAAGAAGGTGCCCCGCTCGCTCAGGTGCCCACACACGCGGAAAAATATCATTCTGCTGCTAAGGAAAGCGAGTACTCCGTCTACTTTCCCTATTTTAAGTAACGCTTATCTTCAACGAATGTTGGGTGTCTACGATAATGAATCCCCGAGTTAGTTTTCCTAGGAGT